TTGCAATATTTTTTGCAATAAATTCGGGTGATGGATTTTTTTCAATGTTTTTTTTCTTCAAAAATTTTGACATATGGAAAAAAAAATGGATTCGAATTTTTAATAAAAATGTGAAAAAAAAAAGAAACAATTCGATTTAACAAGCATTACTTTTTACAGTTTGTAAACGTTATCATATGAATTTCTCCTCTATCCCATTTTCATTTACATTTTGACAAACACAATACGAATAAATCAATGAGAGAATTCATCCATATATTTTAATTTGAATTTAATTTTAACCAGAAGTGAATTAATAAATTGGAAATGAATAATGGCGATTTCTATATGAATTACTTTAAAAAAATTAGTTTCCAAATTTCGGCTTAAAATTAAATCTATTCTAAAAAGAAAGAAGATCGTTGTGATGTTCACTTTACTGTACATACCTGATGAGTTAAATATTTGATAACAACTTCTAATGTATGAAACAGTTAGACGAAGAAAAAAGTATTTGTACAAAAGGTTTCAAACAGGTACTTAAAGTTTTTTAATTTCATATGATTGTATACCATTTGCTCGTACCATTCATATGTTTTATTGCGACTGTTTTAAAATGAAATAAATAAGTTTTTAATCATTTTAAAAGCACTTTTAAACAAAATTTCCGGAAATGCAGCAATAATTAACTGAATTGATTAATTTCTTATTTTTTTTCCCTCTGCCTTTTTGCAAATTTCGAATATTTTTACAAAATGAATTCAAAAAATTTTTATTCAATTCATCATCCTCATCAGCAATAAATCTTTCGGAATGTTTTCCTGTAATATATTCCATGCAAATCATTTATTAAAAACTGGATCAATTTACCAAAAATATATTCCAAATTCACAACTCTCACGTAAAATATCAGTTTTTTTTTCTTAGTAATGCTTTCAGAATGTAAATTTATTAAAATTCATTCATTTATATTGCATAATTGTATATATTTCACACGATTCTCGAAAATATTTTGAAATTGCAAGAAATATATGAAACAAACTACGAGTGATAGTCGAATAATCAAATTTACAACTTTCACAAACATGTTTTCCTTACTTCTTTTTTTTTTCGCTTTCTTCACAAAATATTCATTTGCTTCTTATCGATGACGTCATCCCTAATTAATTATGAAGCAATTGATGAAATCACCCCACTTAAAGAAGCGTTCAAGCATCTCATCATTCTTGCAAAAAATATGTTTCGTAATTTATAAATTTTGGCCACTGAAAGAGGCCACCACTGCATTCGATCAGTATTCGCTGTCACCAAAAAAAAAAAAAAATGGAAAAAAAAATGGAAAAATAAGGCCTAAAAAGAAGGAACGGTACGGATAATATTCTGGATGATTGCCTCGTCATTTTTTGTTTTATTCGACAATATGAGATTTACTCAATGAAGGGATTATCGATAAAACAACGAAAGAGAATACGGATCGTACGTCACGTAAATTACCTAATTTGCACCAACCCACGTAAATTACACCAATCCACAATGACAATTTCATGAATTATTTTTCTTTTAAAAATTATTCCAAATATTTTTTTTTTTTCTTTAATCTTAATATTTTTTAGCTACTGCAATTTCTGATTAAAATTACAGTCAATTTTGCAATTGCACGTGAAACGTTACAAACATTCAATTGTAAATGGGTTTATTGAAGTGTTGGCATGTTATTGTTATTCCGAATAGAATGACGTAGAAATAGCATATGGGGTTATTGCTACCGGAAAAGTCTACAATGTTAACTGACCGGATCGTTGCTTGTAAATAAGCATAAATGATGTTGCCTATATTTGAAAGTAATGTATAATGAAATTTATTCCATTAAATTTCTCTGATTTTTTTTTTTCCTATTTCAAATAATCAATAATTTATTGTTCCAAAATGAAAACTGCTTTCAATTTCAAAATGATTTCGGTTAATTATCACTACGTACGTAAGGATATACATATCATTACGTACGTTATGTGTATGTTCACAATATGTGAACCGAATCCGTTTAAATTTCTCCTTCTTTTTACTATTATAGTAAAGTGGAATGGAGTGGAAGTGTTTAATGATAGTTTTGTTTTTTTTTTTTTCATGAATGCATTCATTCCGATGATTTCGCTATCGGATAAATGGAATAGGATGTCAGTGAAAGCCGGTAAGTGTTTTTCCGAAAATTTCTTTACATCATCAGATATGGACCAGTCTGATCATTACATACCGAATTCCGGTTGGTTAATGAAGCCCAGCAAAAAGAAAGGAGAAACTAAGAAAGAAACCGTTAAATGGCTACATTAGAATGGTTTTTCCTCGCTACCACTTTTTTGCTTCATATCATATCTTCTCGAAATCTCTCCACCGCATCTTTCACCGAGAAATTTCCTATCTCTATTCGAAAAATCATTATTCTCTCCCGGTCGATACTGTATGTGTGTATGTATGTATGTGTGTATATGTATGTGTGTGTATATATGTATGTACGCACGCATGTATGTGCGCAATGTATACGTACACATATGTGTATGGGCGTGTGTGGGTATGCTTTTGTGTGTGTGTGTGTGTATGTGTGTGTATGTATGTGTGTATGTGTGTG